TTCATCCACCAGTACCCCCAAGTACACAAGTCAATAACAGAGGGATAACCCGCTGACTTTAGTCAGATGTTGCCTTAAACAGGTGTGATTGACTTAAAGCTAAGTTTGTATTGAGCTAATGTAGTACAGCTCCTCATCTCAGGAAGCCTAGCGGTTTTTACTTTTCAGCTGCTTGCAGTAGATTTCTGTAGATATAACCTCTGTGAACAAACAGCCTTTACTTATCCTGGAGTAACTGCTTCTTAAACAAGTCAGTGTGTGGCTTTTACACTTGGTCTACTGTCCTTCTTTTGGATTAATCTGCTGCCATGGACTTTTGAGACTTGATGGAGTGAAAGAGGAGTATAGCTTCTTCGCTCAGGAGGCACCAGGGTGTACACAGAGCCTCAGACAACAATGCTTTTGAAGCACTGCATTTTCATATGTTGCACAGAGAAGGTCACAGGGTCAATATTCAGAATTATGGTTATTGCATTACATGCAACTGTTCTGTCTTTAATTATCAGTATCAGAAAGTTAACAAACTGTCTAATGCTAATTAATATTCTGCTGAGGAGACACGAGTGTAAATTAAAGACTAGTGTCTTGCTAAACACTTCAAATTTTCTTGTTTTGGAATATAAAAATATGTTGCCTTCAAGGAATAGCAAAAGCAGGGCTACATACATATACTGGAAAAAAAGACAATTCATGGTAAAATTTTATGGAAGCTTGTTCCCTTGGAAAGAGCCAGAACATTGGCTTGCCTTTGCTGCGTTGTGCATAAACTTAATCTCTATATGGAAGTTGGGCTGTTGTGCTTCTAAATTTTGTTTCTGTGCATACCAGTGGCCACTTGTTTCTTTGGCAGTCTATATTCTTAATTACCTGGTTGGTGGATAGTGGACAGAATTGAACCCAAAATTTTGATGGGTAACATTCTGACATGACTTTGCAATCCTTCTTTGGCTTTCTTTTTTGGATTAGATTAAAAATTTTGCACCCAGCAGTTGTGGTTTGAGTGCAGCTGCCTAACTGCTAGATGGTAACTCCCACGGCCAGCATACCTGGCAGAAGTTTAAGAGAAGCTGATAAAATTTTGTGTGATGAAGTACCATGAAGATTTCCACTTCTGTGCAATAGATTGATGATTAGATGAAAACAGTAAAAAAAACCCTAATGGTTCTGTTCTCTCAACTGATGCAAGAAAATATACTTAATAGTGTTTATGAGGAAGTTTCTCAGGAAATAAATACTTCTGTTTGATAAAGCCAATATATGTTGACCAATGCTTCATAACTAAGAGTGTGATCCTACAGCAGTAACTACTAAGGACTAATACACATGGAGCGGGTTGGTTATCTTCTTTTGTCATCTTCTACCTGTTTTTTTTAATTATTATTTTATTTTTTGCTGATAGGTGGCAGTGTGCTGTATTTGTTTCTTTGTCATTCTTCCACTGAACCTCGTTGGTACAATTCTTGGACGAAATCTTTCAGGACAGCCCAATTTTCCATGTCGTGTCAATGCGGTGCCTCGTCCCATACCAGAGAAAAAATGGTAAAGATGATCATGAATGTTAGCTAGGAGTATTCATTTCAGTATGTTTAAAATGACTTTTCAGGTGTGATCATTAAAAGTTTTTCTGGAATAACTTTTTTTATTTAAATTGAGTTGTGCCTAGAAGAGCAGCTCTACTGACATTTCCTTAATATGAATTTTCTGTTGAATTAAAACACCATGGTTAATAGTTGTAGCAGAGGTTGCAGTCCTAGATCACCGAGTCACATTTGTCCTGAAATGCTCTTTAGACTCTTATGTAAGTGGGATGGTCCTAACCCAGTTCTTGTACAGGTATCTCTAAACTAAACCTTTCCTCTTTAGTTAATGCCTCTTCCAGATTTAGGATTGAATGTGCCTTGGAGGCAGAACTGTTCTGGTTAATGGTCTCCATGTACAAGCTGAGACATATTTGCAGGGTGATGATGGGGAGGAGCTTGCTGTTTACCAATTCTGTGCTTTTATTGATGGCACAGAGCCTAAAATATCCCAGGTATATGGTTTGAATTGTGAATAAGCCTTTATTATTTTTGAATTGACTGTAAAAGGGTTGCCTAGTCTCAAGATGTAGACAAGCTTTTGGAAAATTATGAATGCAGTCACTTTTTCCTATTAATTTAAATTTGAGATGGAAGCAGCAAGCTCTGGAAATGAAAATATCCTCAGAGGATTTTTTTAATGGATTTTTCTTGCTCTCCCTGTTCAGAGGAATGGAACAGACAAAATGAAGGGGGCATTGAAACATGTATGCCCATGATATCCAGGAAGTGCAGTACACTTAGTCTCTTGTTAGTGGTGGGTTGTGCAGCTCAGATGCTAGGATGTGAATTATGTTGTGACCTGTATCTTGGGAATCTGATGGGTTTTTCTAGACCAGCATGACAGATAAAAAGAAATAAGATAGTTCTCTTGAAGATGATGAAATTGCACACCATCATCTTAGACAAGTATCTCTATAAATAATAAAAGACTCTGTAAATCACAGGTTACTAGCTAGATTTGGCATCACTGAAGGGCTACACAGAGGTCACCTTTAGTAAGTGACAGTATCATCTACAGGTATTTTGGCCGTATGCTCGTGACTCAGTACAGCATTAAAAATAAACACTGGTTCTTAATTTTATAACCATTACTCTGCAACATTTTCTTTGGGCTTTTTGCTGTATATGTAGTATACGGAGTTCTTGCTGCCTTCATTCAAGGCTAGTGGATGTCATGGGGCCTGGTTGCTTAGGCCCTTTTTGAGCAAGAGAGATTCTTTCTGTAGCCTTTAAGGCTGGTTAGGTGCCTAACCTTATGCTTGTACGAGATAGGCATGAGCCTTATGTTTTGTTTCAGCTTTCCCCAAGAGTAACTCCTTTTATCCACACACGCGACATCTCTGGGGGAATCTTCTTTCTGTTATGCTAGTGTGAGACAGAATTGTTCTTGTTAGCATGACTTTTAAATGATTCTCCGTGCTGTATTAATTATCTGGTTATATGTCTTAATCTTTCATTTATAACCATATTAAAATTGTTCATAAACTAATCCTTATATCTTTCAGGTTCATGGAACCAGCTGTTATTGTTTGCCTAGGTGGAATCCTCCCTTTTGGATCAATTTTTATTGAAATGTGAGTATGTCAGCTATTTGCCAATTTCATTAAAAATTACAATAATTTACATTCAATTACAATATTATCTGCATGTTTTGTTTTCTCTCTTCAGGTATTTCATTTTTACTTCATTCTGGGCTTACAAGATCTACTATGTTTATGGCTTTATGATGTTGGTTCTGGTCATCCTCTGCATTGTGACAGTTTGTGTGACTATCGTTTGTACCTATTTCCTGCTAAATGCAGAGGATTACAGGTGGTGAGTATTGCATTATTCACATAGTTAACCAGATGGTGAGAGTTTTACAGAAAATTAGTGTTTCTTCAGTCTAGATGGGTCTTTTTGAAGGGTCCCATGTCCAGATTTTAGCTGTAAGGAGTAAAAGCAGTTCTTGGATCCTTTCTGGACAGCTTTCTGTGTGTATGTGCATCTGTGTATGTACAAAAAACCCACGTATGTTGAGGCACCCAGGAATGTGTGGAAGGATCATCACTTGGTATCAGTGGTAGCTGTTGCCGTAGAAGCTTTTGTCACTTACAGGAGACAACATGTTGGTTTTGTTAAATAAGTCTGTAGAAGCAGTACACTTGATTTTTAGGGTAAGGTTTTGGCACATTGTGCCATCTTCTTGGGGAGCGTTTTGGTTAGATATATGATGGGCATGCGATCTTTGCTTTCAGGCAGTGGACAAGCTTTCTTTCTGCGGCATCAACTGCAATTTATGTTTACATGTACTCCTTTTACTACTACTTTTTCAAGACAAAGTAAGTAATGGTTTTCTTTATTGAATAACAGATTACTGTATTGCCAAATATGTTTATTGATAAAAACTGGAGAAAATACCTAGCATAAATCCCTATCTTTCTTTTCCAGGATGTATGGCTTGTTTCAAACATCATTTTACTTTGGTTATATGGCAGTATTTAGCACAGCTTTGGGAATAATGTGTGGTAAGTTTCAAATATATTGATAGTTCTTTATCAGAATTTTTCAGATGGTCATGTTTCTGATTTCAGCTCTGTGGTTTTGGTGGTGGAGTGTGTATGTCTGCAAGAACTGCTCAAAAAATGCTTACAATCTTTAAAAAGAATCTCACAGTTCTCTGCTTATACTTGGTCCCTAACTAATATAGGAGATTTCTGTGGAGTGTGTCTTCTGATAGCAAGATAATTTATGAACTATGCAGAGAATTTCACTCTTAGTGCAAGCTTGGAAGACTCAATTATTGGGCAAGAAATTCTACAGAAGTAAATGCCAAATTATCTTGAGTCCATGATAGCATTTTGTTTCAGGAGATTTTACTGTTGTCCCAAGGAGCTAGGTATAGCCATTGAGGCACCAGTGGTATTGCAATACTGATGACACTGCCATCTGTATCTTGTGGCATGTATATATGAGGGTGACCAGAACAGAAAGGACTGAAACTTCAGGGTAACATTTGAGAAATAAGTACCGGAATACTCACAGGAGTGCAGAGTGCTTCTGTGTGCAGCTGGATTTCATTGCTTTTTAAGATACTGTACTGACAGATGTTTAGAGAAAAACGTAGTTCTTGGCATGGAGGTCATCAGATAAAGTCAAATACACTTGTTCACCTGTTAACTTTATCTTTAACCTTTGCTTTATGACTTTCAGAAAGGGCTACTTGGTTTTTTCACACTTTTCTATGATGTTATTTGCTTTTTATTATGTGTGATCCTTATTTAATACTTTCCTTCTTAAAGTTGAATGTATAGTCTTAGAGTCTAGTGGAAGGATTTCATTGAGTTAGACATTGGAGACACTCGATGTCTTACAGGGACTTACTTTCAGTGAAGTATACATTTCTTGATATCCCAAGAGTGGGTAATTTCACTGTGCTTTATAAAAAGGGGTGGGAAATAATCTCTTAACTGCTGAGTACCCATTGCCCTTTTTTCTCATGCAATCTAATCTTGCTTCATCAGGTTCTTGGCACATTACAAGACTTCCCTGCTGTTCTGGTCGTCTTGTGGTCAATTTTTTTTTTTTTCTTTAATAGGCTTATACTTTTCAGCTCTAATCTTTTCTTTTTAAAGTGTTTGGGCTGGTGTTGATTAAAATGTCTATGATGCAGAAGCCGAGCTTGCCCCCCAGTTTTTGTAATAAAAATGTTTTTTAAAACATGGAAAAGGAAGATCTTTGAATGCTTTCTTGTCATGGTAGGACACTGCATGATGGAACATTAGAGTAAAATCCAAATTTATTCAAATTCAGAAAATACATTAACACATTAAATTTAATTTCCACAGCTCTGTTGAGTTTTCTTGTTGTCTTCTTAACTGTGTTGGAAGAAAAGCTGTGAGATTCTTTTTTACTGAGAACTCTTTTTCAGCATGAAGAGGAAAGAAGAAAAATCCCCTGTCAAAAAGCATTTGTGTA